TGTTTCAAGAGATCCTGCCCACATATCAGCAGAAAAATAGCTTCCTTCCACTTAGGTGGTCATATTTGTACCTAAAGGAACCAAGAAAGCTGATAAAGCCTATAAAAAGTTAAGAGGAAAAGTATTTTTCTATGAAAAGTAGCAGTCAGCCACCATTCACAGAGAAGTGCCATTTTTCTCCACTTGTTTTGTTTTGCTTTTATAAGAACAACTTATTTGCTTAGGAATAATTTCAATTTGGGCCCAACTCTGTTTCAAACACTAGTTAAAGATGGTCTATGGCATGGGGATCAAGAATACAATCTTAAATTGGATTGGCCCGCACAAAAAATTTATCTTCATCTCCAATCTGCAAAATGGGGATAACAACAGTACCTATTTCACAGGGAATGTTGCAAGAATTAAATAGATTAAAACACGAAAAGCACTTTAAACAGTGCCTGGCACAAATTAGTCACTACAAAAGTATTAGCACATCATTATCCTCTAGGTCTAGAATATGAGCTCCATGAGAGCTGTGATTTCCCTGTTTCCTTCACTGCTGAAGTCCCAGGTGCTTGACAGAGTGAGTATTTGTTGAATAATAAAAGCTACTAAGTAATAAAACAACAGAAGCCCTCAAAACACCACCTTTTTGTTATCACTGACAACTACAATCTGCATGACACTTGAATCCAAAGCTTAGAGCTCACAGGTGGCACTTACATACCTCACAGACCTTATCTCAAGTGGTTCTGTGAAGCAAACATTTTTATTTATCCCCATTTCTCAGACAGACTCTTCTGATTTGTGAGCTGTCCAAAATCAAAGAGTCTGAACAGCATCTATGTTCTGGAAGGCAGATTCTCACACAGAATATATCTTGCTAAGCTGTTCAAAACACCTTACCTGCAAATACACAAAGTTTAAGGTCACAAAAACACTTATCTCATTTGCTTCGATATGATTGATGGAGAGGGTGGAAACAAGAAACAGCATTTGTATCTGCTCAAGTTTGACAGTGAGACTGATTTTTCCCTTCTTTCCACTTCTGTATGCCTGATACAGTTTCCATAATAAAAAAAATTAAAAAATATGACGGAAAAAATGAAGTCCTCGCTCCCCAACATAAACTCTGCCACTTCCAACTTTCTACGGAGCACTCCTCCCTCAGAATGAGACCAGCACTGCTGAGGACACCAGCGCTGCTCAGTCTGAGGCAGGAAGAGTGGGCTGGACTGGGGTCAGGAGGCTTCAGTCTTGGCTCTCCAGTAACTACTTGTGGGACCTCACTGATCCCCGACTCCTCTGAGCCCTGAATGTCCTCATCTGTTCCTTCTAGGAGGAAAATCCTGATGTCAACTTTCTACTATCTCCTTAAATGCAACACACAAAGCCAGATTCGTCTCCATTCTAAACCCCTCAACCTGTTCTTCCTCCTGATTTCCCTGCTCCTGATGTCCCATTCTGCCAGGCACCCAACCATAAAAACCTCAATGTCATCTCTGACTTGAGACAGAACTGACTGTTCCCTTTCCCTCCTACCTAATCAGTCACATCTCTGATCAACCTCCAAAATATCTTTAAAATCCATCACCTCCTTTCCATTCCCAAGGCCAGCAGTTCAATTCAGACCCTTGCCATCCCTCAACAGGACTATTACCACAAACCCAACTAATGTCCCTGTCTCTAGTGTCTCCTCACTGACAATCCACCACATTCACCCTTAGTCTGTCCTTAAAGACCCTCCAACCCAGCCCTCACCTCTCAGCAGCCTCATCTTCCACTAAGTTCCTTTATATCTCCCAGGATATGCAGGTTCCTGACACCAGTCTCATTTCCAATGCTGCTCCCAGCCTTTGCTCAAGCTATCCTTCCCTCCAGAATGCTCTATCCTTTTCATTGCTTCTCAGCTTCACAGCGGGGCAATTCAAATGACTCCTCTTCCACTGAAATGTTCACTGGTAACCCCACAGGGCAGAAACATTCCCTCCATTTAACCCACAAGCACCTTGTCCAGAAGACTTTTACAGCACCTATCAAACCCATTAGCCCCTTCACTTTCTGTGCCCCTAGTCTCTCTACTAGATGACTCATTCCTTGTCAATAGGAATAGTTTGTTCATCTCTGTATCCCTCAGAACAGAGCTTCTCAAAAAATGTGCTGTGGCACAGTAGCATGCTATGACTGAGCTAAAGATGTTCTAGACAGATGACCTCAGCCTTCCAAGCAGCCACAAAGGGACTTCGACATCCAGAGCTCCCAGCTGGTCATGACTCAATAGTCTTAAGCAGCCCCCTCCTCCTCCACCAGGTAGAAACCATGATGATAACTGAGCAGTACTCAGAGGACACCACACCTCAGGTACATAATGGATGCCCAACAAATATTGGCAGAATTGAATCTTGGAACAAACCATCTGTTCCCCTCAACCACCATCTACAAGATCACTTACCATCTAAGAATATACTGTTTGGAATAGTTTCAATGGACACGTTCTAGTTATCTTTTTAATAACCACTTGTTTATTAGCTGGCTATATTTGCCATACCATGCAAAGCCCACATCAGTAGTTCACTGCCTAAAAGAGCAAAGGATGTATATGAATAAACAAGTCACCAGATAGAGACACAGAAGTGAAATTCAATACTGTATATAGAACAAAGAAATCCAGTGTCAATTACACCTTGAAATAAGCAAAATTTGTATTTCTGTCTAGTTATAGTGAAATAGGACACCCATGTATTTGTTACCAGTGAAAACTGGAATAACATCCTTGAAAAACTATATACATCAACTCACAAAGATGTTCACACCATTTAACACAAAAATCCAAAAGGGCCTTCCAGGTGGTATGAGGGTTAAAGTCTTAGTGCTACCAAGCAATCGCCAGCCACTGAGGTATGAGTTCAAACCCCGGCCAGGGAGCTAACCCACATGGCACAGCAGACCTCTCCTATTTCACCCGCTGCTCCCCTCAGCAGTGTATTTCAGTCAATCTGCCTGTTCTGCTCCCCACTCTGTCTCTGGTAAGTCCTCTCACCCCCCACACCTCTGGCCTATACCCCAGTTCTTGTATGCATAAATAAATAAAAATTAAATTGTAAAAAAAAAGGAAATTTATACAAGAGTCAAAAAAAAAACAGCACAGTAACAACTATAATAATTAGATTAAAGTATTAACTGAAAACCAACCAACAACAAAAATACCGAACACACAAAAAAAATTAGGTAAATTATGGGAGCATGACTTGTTGAAATATTTTGCAGCCTTTCAAAATGTAAACATATAAATTAAAATTGTGACACCTATAACATGGAAATGTTTCATGATCTAATAAGTAGAGAAATAATTCAAATTATATGCACACTCTCTATCGCGCGCTCTCTCTCTCTCTCTCTCTCTCTCGCTCTCTCACACACACACACACACATATACACACACACGGGCACGGGCACGCACACACACACATACACACTCTCGCTCTTGCAATACCAAAAAGAAAATGAACCGCTTTAGGTTAGTAACCCTAATATAACACAATTCATTTAATATCAATTCCTCAATTATTTCATAATCTAAGAAAGTTCCACCATACTGAGCAACAGGGGTTCCAGGATACAACCTTGATAACATCTCAAGCAGTCCACCCTTCCCTTCTATGCTCACTTTGGCCTTAACTGAGAACTCCCATGCACCCCTCTGCTCGATAACCAATGACAACCCAGCACTAGCTTTTCAAGGGCCAACAATCATCTCGACTGGTGTCCTGATGGTCCTCATGAACTTATAAGGGATCGACAGTACAAAACAAGTATATACCCAAGAAACAAAGAACTCCTAAAACAATGTTACTTTAGCAATCAGCCAGCAGCCAAGCCCAAATCCAATATAAACCTTAAAAGTATATGTATTGTCATATTGAAGTTTCTGGGATTCCCAAAGCCAACTTGCTAACTCTATGGTGGGCAATATCACAATTAAAAGGTAATAAGAACTCATCAGCAAATAAAAGAACTAGGGCCTAGAACCTTGGATGCAGTTAACAAGGGGGAAAAAAATGTTATTTTAACTACAAATAACAGAAAGCTAAAAACCCCAGCTTAAAACACATGGGGGTGAAAAAGTAATTGGCAGCATCTTATAAATCAAACTCAGCCAGAGCCCAAAAGGTAGACTGGGAAGTCATTTTATTAATAGTTGAAGCTTTCTAGAGCTGGTAATATCTAATGAAAGACTAGTATTGATAATATATCACAAAATAATTTCAGCACTCATGCCCTATGAGGACTATAATAAAAAGGTCTTCCTTTTTTCCCTTAGCATTTTCATTTTCTAGGTTTAGTGATGAAAGACCATGATTCTATAATGGATCAAAAAGATTAATTACTGTGAAATAATACTCAAGACTAAACTATCTTTCTTAGCGCATTTCAGCACGAGATAAAGTATTTGCAGGACTAACACAACCACTAAATGGAGGGAGGAGGGGATACAACTATTAGGGTAAAAGTTTAAGCTTTTGGTTCTACTGGTTAAGTCCTCAGGATTTCAATCCTCAAAAACGGAGATATACAGAGTCATTCATGACAATACATACATAGCAGCTAACAGGAAAAAGAAAATTCAATACGTAACCAAATTCATCAGAGCACAGGGGGATTACCACTCAAGAATGTTGACACAAAAACTGAAGGACCTCTCAAGTTCCAATCATATGCAAATAGGTTGAGCCCCAGTGCAGTGACTAATTCTGAACAAAAGTAGAAGATTAACCTACACTCACTTCTCTTCAAACAAATTCTGACAGAGTAGCAGGAAAGCTCTTCAGAGGAAGCCCATCATCCAGTTTGTATCAGAAGAAGTCAATTTGTCCACAGGTATCTTCTACATCACTCTTCACTGCCCACCTCATCCTTTTTGACCAGGAACTCTCACCTAATTTAAGGCTCCCCTAGTCTCTTTCTCAGGCATGACCATGCCCTTGTTTCTAAATAAGAGTCTCCTAAACCTTACTCACCTGCAGTTCACTGCACTGCGTATCACCCAAATAGCCCATCAGAGCTCTTTATAATTTCTGAAAAAGAGAGAAGGAAGCCTTTAAATACATAGTTTAAAAAAAAAAACAAAAAACAAAAAACACCATCGCTGATATATCTGTTCTGAAGCATTTGTATCCAGCATATGGTCTTCTGGTCCGTAGTATTTCAATAATGTAATATAACCAGCTAGCACCAAGAGTCCTGAGATAAGAGTCCAGTGATAAAAGTTTGGTTGAAAATTGCTACTACTCAGCTGTGTGACCTTGGGCACGTCACTTGACTCCTCCAAGTCTAAACTTCTCAGAAGGCAAATAAGACCGTTAGACTACAGAGAAATGAGCAAAGCACATCACAATGGAAAGAGCAAACACTTTCCACAACAGAAAGCCAGCACCACTACTTACTAGTCTTGACCTGTTATATCAGTACATGTTTAGCCTAAATTTCCTCCTCTGCAAAATGGAAATAACATTATCTTGAAGTTATTATGAAAACTGAAAGAGATAATAACTTTCAAAGAGCCTATTGTAAATATACTGCAGCTTATCATAAAATTCAACAGATGTTAATTACCACCATTACCTCCAGCCCTAAGGTTACAGGAATTAAATTTACAAATATTTCCTTATAAGATCTACATATCAAAACTTTCCAAACTGACAAAGGAATGAACCGAGTGTTTTACTAACAATTCAATTACAATCATCTTTAACTGATGGTAGTTTCAGATTATCAATATTACTTAACATCACAGGAAATGACAGTCCCTGCACAAACCATATCTAAACTCTGGTTCAGTGGCCATGCCTTCCCTGACTTCTGCCTGCAACTTTCACTTACTGCCAGTAAACCTTAGCAACAGAGAGGTCTTCCAATAGCTAAATGACACCAACTGTTTTCTATGGTCAGCTCAAGGGAATACAGCTACAGAAGGAGGAGAAAGAAGTACTGCTGAAATTTATTTACCATAGCATGCATCAGTTTTGCATTAAAATAAATAATTTCAAAACTATATTAGTTACACATATTGCCTACAGACAGGAAACTCGCCTTACAGGAATATTTTCACCACAAAAAGAATCTGCGCAGAAGAAAGCAAAAAAGCAAATTCACATGTGCCGAAAACACCTAAAATATGGCACAGAACAAAAATCACAAACATCCACATTTTAGAATGATTTAGCAAAAAAATATGCCATGTATTTTTTAATTCAGAACCTAAATGATCAATCATGTTCTTTTGTTCAAAAGCAAGATGAATAATCCAAACTGTGGTTTTACCAGACAACTTTCTGCTCTTAGTTGGAGAGAAACTGACACAATACAATTTATAGGAATAAACAAATGAGTATAATTCTTTGGCAATATGCTGAAAAACTTTCAATTTGCTTTAGGCAAATGAGAACTTCAAAATATATATATACATATAAAAGTTGTGATGTTACATCTGTAACATTATTTTTTTAAAAGAGGACTATTAACTCTATTAAATTCAGGATTACTCGGGCCTCCCAGGTGGTGCACTGGGTTGCAAAGCTGCCTGCAGCCTCCGTAGTATGGTTGGATCCCCCGCTGCTCCCTGGCCAAGGGAGGAGGGTCCCACAAGGCACACGCAGACCTCTCCTGCCACCAGCTGCTCCCCTCAGCTGTGTTTCGTCCCTCTGCCTGTTCTGCTCCCCACTCTGGCTCTGGTGAATTCTCTCATCCTCCCGCCCTTCTGACTGTACCCAGTGCCTGTATAAATAAATAAATAAATAAATAAATAAATCTTTTTTTTTTTTTAAATGTTGGCATCTGTTTTTAATTTTTTTTTTAAGATTTATTTATTTATTTATACAAGCACTGGGTACAGTCAGAAGCGCAGGAGGGTAAGAGAATTCACCAGAGCCAGAGCGGGGAGCAGAACAGGCAGAAGGACCGAAGTACACTGCTGAGGGGAGCAGCGGGCACAACAGGAGAGGTCTGCTGCGTGCCATGTGGGACCCTCCTCCGGTGTCCGGGGAGCAGCCAGGGATCGAACCGGCACTGCAGAGGCTGAGGGCAGCTTCGCAACCCAGCGCTCAACCACTGCGCCACCGGGGAGGCCCTAAATAAATAAATCTTTAAAAAAATTTTTTTTCAGGATTACTCAAAAGTAGTATCCATTCATCCTAGAGGTGACTGACTACAATGTTTTATACGGCTACTTGGCGAAGTTTACAGAAATAATCCCAACACCACCCGTCAATTTAAATGAATTGTAAACTGGTGTGGTCACACTCTACACATATCATAGTTCTCTACTAGAAAACATTTCAAAATATTACTTAGTCATAAAATTATATGTGTTTGTATACCGATTAAGTTTATGAAAATAAACAACCATAACAATTTGTTTATAGTTTTTAAGTAGCTCCTCCTCCTCTCTTGTTTATCAACAAGTCTATACCCTTGGCTCAAAACCTTACATGCATTTGAAACAAGAGGCAAAGAACCTTATTTCCTGTGTTGGAAATAATGTAGACTGACAGATAATTATGGGCTAATCTACATTTTTTTAAAGAACAAAAGTGCATGCGTGAGATCTAATCTACTTATTTGTGGGTCCCTCTGCAACATTCTTAGCCTTTCAAGAATATGCTGCATATGCTTAAATTACACAAGACCCATTGGGAGCAGGAATGATTTCTCCTGGTTGTTTTTGCATCACTTCCCCCTCCAGTAAATCACTGGACAGTACATAAACATATACAGACTTTAAAACAATGTAGATTTTGAGTATTAGAAAAGGAAACTCCTGCTAATAATGGCAAAAATCAAGTTGACCAGTTGAGAGAAGTACTTACTGACTCCCAAAAACTACAGCCTTACCTAAAAATAGTGTCCTAGCCTCCCAGCCAAAAGGACAGGCTAAAAAAGCTATGTCTTTACTCAGCTCAAAGACGCAGACTGCTTCACCACAACCTTCAATATTATGGTATTTCCCAATTTAGAATACTTTGTGTAACAATTTGTTTGGTGGCCAAGCACCAGCTTCACTTTGAAGTGAATACTAACAGTTCACATGGTTTGCATGTGTGAAAATTAAGGACAATGTCTTGCCACAACTCGGGCCAACCACCATTAGCCACAGAAATTTACCTACTTCTAAGTACTCAATTTTAGATTACAAATGGACGTCTCCATAGGCAACAAGCAGGACACCAGTTACTTTCCACAAAATAATCTGTAAACTTAAAAAAAAAAAAGGTTTAGATTGCAAGGTCTAAGGTATGAATATGGTTCCATCTAGAAACTGAAAATAAGTTTCAAAATTCATATTTACTCTGTCAAGAATAAAAATAAAAACAGATGTAACATACACAAGCACTGCTGAGTTTCAAGCAAGGGTGGTGTGTGCACTTACAAAAAGATCTTGGTTTATGTCCACCTTTCTCTCCCAAACCTTTAAGGCAAAATTTCAATTGCATGCCTCACTCTGAGAAAAAATACAGCACAGCTTATTCTTCTTAAATAAATGTTATAGGGTTTGTGAGAGGATTCCAAAATCCAAAGGCTACCCTGATGTACTAAAGAAAAAAAAATGTGTAGTAACAGATCAATTTAACATTAATAACTTACATTTTTCTAAATAAACCACAGTAAAATATTTTCAAAGTTGAGAAAATTGCTTGTGAAAATGCAAAACTGAATAAACTTTTCAGAAAAGTTAACTGCTCACTAGCACTATATCAATAATGTCCATTACATCCAAAGCATTATGTGAAATTAAATAAAGTATCAATGAAGTTATACACCACCGGGTGACCAGAAAATAATGGCAAAAATAATGCCAGTCTTACCCCTAATAAGCTTAAATAAAAATTGACGATCTTGTTTTTATTTCAAAATAACTATGAGAGACATACACTTTCTGATTTTCCTCTGGAGGGCAAGTACTTTTTTTATAAGAGTGCCACAAACTGTAGACACACAAAAATTCACACACACAATCACTAAGACTCATGTAGAGTTAGTGACGGACACCAAAACACAGATAAAATTAAGACATCCAATTAAAGTTACACAAGGAAATTTAAATAGACAACCTATAATTACCCATGGTGAAGATATGATCAAGAATAGCTGCAAATAACATTTGACTCTGGAGAAGCTCCACTATGGTTGTGTCTGCTGGAGGCACTGAAGTCTGGTACATTTCACACATTTTTCCTTTTTAAATCTCGCCCTGCCTATACGCTCATTTGATTAAGTGAGATATGGGAAAGTAAAAGATGGCCCCATCAAATTAGTTTTAGTCTTACCCTTATGAGTTGATTAAAGTGAAGGAGAAAAGTTAAATGGTTTTTAAGTGCAATCTCACCTTACACATCTCACCAGCACTGTAGTTCATTAGTGATCAAATACTTCATCCAATTCCTGAGGCAAACAGAAAAGCAAAATGTGTCTATACAACACCATTAACAAGACATGCACCACAGCAAACATTTCATCAGGCTGAAGAGAAAAAAGACATCTGAATTGGAACCGGAGAAAGTGAACAAAATTGTACAACAGGCAGCTGTGCAAAATGAGTGTTTTCCTTTAAAATAAAAACATTTCCACTCTGAGCGATGAAAGAATTGATGTCCTTAAAATCCCAAACATTATAAACAGTCGTCTACTTAGCACTAAGTTTACTTTCAAAAAAGAAAAAGATAGAGAGGAGAAGAAACCTCATGAATAAGACTTTAAGTGAGGGTATAAAGCAAGCTAAGAGCTAACATGCCAGGGCAACTCCCCTCCTCCCCCCCAGTTCCAGTCTCTGGAGTTAATATATTAATGATCTGACGAAAAAGTGCAAGTTGTGAGCGAGAAGGAATGACAATTTTGAGTTTCAAACAAAACCTGAGGATCCCAACCCAAGAGGAATCCCGAGAGCCAGGCTTCCAGCCGGGCCTGAAGGCCCCTCAGCAAAGGGGGACCATGCAGAAGGCGGCTCAAATAAATATGGGGGGCAGAGAAATCAAAGTTTCCCAAATTTAAAAAAAAAAAAAAAAAAGCCCTTGAAAGGGGAGAGTCTTAAAAGAAATCTCCAGGAAAGGACAGTCAGTTTTTATTTTTGTTGATGTGTCTGTGGGCCAATAAGAATTTCCGAGGAGGGGGCGGAAAACGGGGGGCCGGGGTGGGGGGAGAGGAAGAAAGTGAAGCTCAGGCAAAAACCCCGGGCGGGGGAGGGAGGGGGCGCACCCCTGACCCACTTTTCCCGACGCCCACTCTCTGCGCCCCGCGCCCCACCCCGTGGAAGTCCGAGCCCCGAGGGGGCGATCGAGCGGGGCGTGGGAGGCCCGCGGCTCCCCACCCCCAGCCCCGACCCGGAGGAGGGGAGCGTGCGGGGAGGCTCGACTCCCCCTCGCGGGGTGCCGGGGGCCGGCGAAGCCCTCCGCGGGCTCCCGGCCGCGGGCGGCGAGGCCCCCCGAGGCCCGGGCGAGGGCGCCGCGGCCCCCCGCGGCGGGGACGGGGGCCGAGCGGGGGAAAGGCTGTAAACAGCCCCGGCGTCCGGGCCTCGCCTCGAAGAGCCCCGCTTCCCAGGCCCCGCCGCGGGCCGCCCGCGCGCCCGGCCCGCCCGGGGGCCGCCCCCGCCGAGGCCCGGGGAGCCGGAGGGGGGCCGGGTCGCCTCCCCGGAGGGCCCCGCCACCGCGCGGAGCCGTCCCGGCAGCAGAGAACGGGGAAGTCAGGACTTACCTGTCATTACTTTCTACGCCATCTTGGATCCACTTGTCAACGTCCCCACAAAGCATTATGGGTAAGAAAGAGCCTTTAAAGTGACTCCCCCCTCGGCCCCCGACTCCCGCCTCCCGCCGCCGGCGCCGCCCCTCGGGCCGCGCCTCCCGCCGGAAAGTTGCCCCGGGTGGCGGGCCGGGCGGGGCGCCCGCGGCGGGCCCGCCCCTCCCCCGGGCTCCCCGCGTTTCACGGCACCCCCTTTTTGAAAACGTGACTTTGGGCGCTTCTCTCGCCTCCGGCCCCGGCCTCCTCCCCCACCCCGGCCTCCACGCCGGCCGCCCGCGCCCGGCCGCCTCCTGCCCCGGCCGACACCCCGCGTCTGCGTTTAATCAGCCCGGGGTCCCCCCGCGGCGGGCGGCCGGCGCTGCCCCAGGATTTATTTATGCGCATTTGCGCGTCTGCTGCTCCCCGGGCCGCGCGCTCCGCCGCGGCTCCTGCGCCCGCCGCCCGCCCCGGCCGCGGGGTCGCCCTCCAGGCCCGGGCGCCCCGGCCCTGCGGACCGGCGGGCGCTGCGACTCCGGCTCTGCGGGCCCAGGGGGGCCGGTTCCGCCCCACGGCCCCGAGCCCGTCGGGCTCCCGGACCCGGGCAGGCGGGCGGGAGGAAGTCACGAGCTGCGGGAACTTTTCTGCCGGTTCACTGTCCGTGCCGACGTCTCCTCCCTCGCGGGTGACGTGATCCGCGACCCCCCAAGCGGGGACCCCTCCCCGAGGATGTGGCTTGGGCTGCGCCGATCGCCCCGCGCGCCGACTGGGACTTGGCGGGACAGGTAGAGGGGCGCGGGCGGCGGCCCCCGCGCGCCGGGGCCCCGGGAGGGTACCCGGGAGGGTCCCCAGGAGCGTCGGGGGAGGGGAGGCGAGGCGCCCGCCCCGGGCCCTTCGCGGGGTCCCGGCGGAGGGAGGGCTGCGGGCGCGCTGAGGCGCCGGGACGCGCGGGCGGGAGGGGGCACCGGAGTGCCCTCCGCGGACCCGCCCCCCGGCGAGACACCCCGCAACTCGCGCCCGCCGCCCCGGCATCTGCTCGAGCCCGGCTCCCCGGGGATCCCCGCGGGCGCCCGCGCGCAGTCGGCCCCGCGCCCTGGAGCCCGCGATGGGGCCTCCCCGCTCGCCTCCCCGAGCCGCGGCTGCCTAGTCTGCAAGCCCGCGCGGGGGTTCTCTGCCTCCCCGGCAAGTTTTAAAAAGCAGCATCCAGACCAAAACCCTGCAGCACCCCGAGGCTGGCGACACTGTGTGCCGCGCAAAATGCGCTTGAATTGTGCTAAAAATGGCACGCGCGGCCCCCACCAGCCGCCCGCGCCCTCGGGGGCGCGAGGAGGGAGCCCGGGGCTCCGAGTTCCCGCAGACCCCGGGCGCCCCTCTCTCGAGGAACCGGGGCGCTGGCGCGCCCCAGGCCTGCCCCCGGGAGCTGGAAACTCCGGCAGCAACTGTCCGGGCCGGAGGGGTGGTGTGCGGTGTGGACTCATTAGGAGGTTGGCCGCGGATCAGCGAGAGCAGCGAGCGAGGCCGTGAGTCACCCCCGCCGGCCTGGAACTCGGGCGCCGGGAGGGACTCCCTGAGTCACCCGCTGCGCGGCTCCGAACGGGCCGGGAAAGTGCAGCCTGGAGTCAGGTTCTTCCACGTTCCAGCGCCCGCGAGCGCGCGGCCTCTGGCCCCGGGGCCAGGGAGGCTGGGAGCGGAGGGCCCCGCCCTTCTAAAGAAGGCGCCAAGCCCCTCTCCGCCGGGCGCGCCCGGTGCTCCGGTGCCAGGGCCCCTCAGCACCGCGCCTCGCCTGCGCTGCTTCAACGCTTGCTCTGTTTCCAGAGCACCGTTAGGCGTGTGCGGTCAGCTCCCCCGAGAAGTGACCGCTGAAGAAGCTGGGAACCAGGCCTAGGCCTCCCAGCCGTTTCTTTAAGTAACTTTCTTCGCCTTCTGCAGACCTGCACCTGGAGAAGCACGCGCAATGTGTGGGGGCTGCCTCCCCCATTTTGCACCGCAGGGTGCATCCTAATCCCGGCAAGTCTGGGACCTCAGGGCTGCTGGAGCTGGGAGAGGCTCCTCGCCTTCAGTCTGCCCCCTACCGTCCATTCTCCGTCTGACCGACCCAGTGACTGTCCCGAGGTGTTACTGCAATCACGTGACCCCTCTGCTCGGGCCCCACCGAAGAACTCCCCAACACATCTGGAATAAATCCCATGTTCCTAACCCTGGCCCACACGTCCCTGAGTGGGACGGCTCTGCATCCCCTTCCTCACCACAGGTACCTCTCTGCCCCTGCTGCACCCCAGGCTTCCTCCAAGGTGGAGCCCTGTCCCCCAGATCTGATGATCATCTCTCATCACCCAGCCACACTTACCATGCCAAGAGGTGGTCACTTTCGTGATCCCCATAACCAAGGCAACTCACTCATACTTCTTGGACCCTAGTTAGAAGTCATCTTGTTTCATCTGTTTGCTGGCCGCTTATTATCTGCTCCCCACTTCCCCCCATCAGAGGCTTGTTCACTCAGTGCCTGGTCTAGGTCCCCTCCCACAGCTCTAGACATTTAGCAAATATTTGTAGAATGAATAACAAAACTTTGTCAGGACTAGGGGGCGTGGCAGTTAAAGAGCACTGAAGCATGTTTTGCCAGGACCCTTCAGAACTCCCAAGAGGCAGCAAGGTAGGGATGGCGTCTGATGGGGAAAACAAGACCATGGCCACCATTAATGACACTCCATTCTAATTCTGATCTCAATACACTGACCTAAATAATTGCTCAATCCTGGGACTCCCTGATGGCGCAAGGGGCTAAGCCTCAGCACTATGGGCAGCCGCTGCAGCCTGAGTTCGATCCCCAATGAGGGAGCTAACCCACGCATGGCCCAGCAGACCTCTCCTGTTTCACCCGCTGCTCCCCTCAGCAGTGTATTTCAGTAGATCTGACTGTTCTGCTCCTCACTCTATCTCTTGAGAAGCCTCTCACCCCACAAACACACCTCTGGCCTACACCCCAGCTCTTGTATGCATAAATAAATAAATAAATCTTTTTTTTTTAATGTGCTGGAGCCCCTTGAATCAAGAGTAAGTACCACTTCTCCACCATTAAGATAGCCATTATCCAAAACCCAGAAAATAACAAGTATGAGGAAAGATGTGGAGAAACTAGAATCCTTGTACATTGGCGCTGGGAATAATCAAATTCCACTATGGAAAACACTCTGGCACTTCCTCCATCAGACCCAAAGATGCCACTTTTGAGCAGATAAAGGAAAGGAAAGCAAGGACTTGCACAGATATGTGTGCGCCCACCTTCTTAATGACATTGTTCACAGTAGCCAAAAGGTCGAAGCGATCCAGTGACAGATGAATAAACAAAATGGAATTTGGACATGCAATGGAGTATTATTTAGCCCTGATAAAGGAAAGAGATGCTGACATGGCCTATAACATGGGTGAACCTTGAGGGCATTATGCTGAGTGAAATGAACAAGTCACAAAGAAACAAATATTTTATAATTCTGTTTTTAAGAGGCACCTAAATTAGTTAAATTCATAAACAGAAATTAAGATGGTTGCTAAGGGTTGGGGGTGGGGAGGATGGGAGTTGTTAAACGTTATAGAATTTCATTTTTGTAAGATGAAATGGAGTTCTGGAGATCAAGTGCAATGTACTTAACTCTATTCAACTATACACTTTAAAATTACTTAGATGGTAAAGTCTATTTATGTGTTTTTACCACCAGAAAAAAATTTGATGGTTCAGATGATAAAATATCTTTTTTGTGGGTTTTTTTATAATAAAAAATTTAGAAAGAGAAGCCCTGTAAAAGCTAACCAAAAGAAAATTGGGCTATATGGCAATAAACATTACTAAAAATAAAGAACATTTTGTAATGACATAACAAAAGAAGATACACAATTCTAAATTCGTGTGTGCCTGGTGCACATAGCCTCAAAATATGTGAAACAAAAAAAACTTGGACAGAATTTCAAGGAGTTAGAGACAAATCTACCATTCCAGTGGAAGAAGTGTATATCAGTAACTGTTAGAACAAGCAAGGTGAGAAACAAGTAAGAAACAGATTTGAACAAGCTAAGCAAACTTAATATATAGAGAGACTAATATATGTACCCACAACTGCAGATCACAAATCCTTTTCAAGTGTGCCTGGAATGTTTATGAAAATGTTTGCAATATAGCAAGTCTCGACAGATTTCAAGTGATCTAAATCATACAGAGAACATTCTCAGACAATGATGCAGTTAAACTAGAAAATAAGAAAAAAGGTAAGAAGAAAATTACATATTTGAGAACTATATATTCCTAATGACTATAGGCACTCATTAATGGATTTTTAAAAAATCACAATGAGAATTAGAAAATAATTTAAATTTAAAGTTTTTGAAAATACTATGTCCTAAAGTTAAGATGTGACTAAAGCCACACTAGCATGGAAAGTTACACTTTTTTTTTTTAAGATTTATTTATGAATGCATACAAGTACTGGGGTACAGGCCAGAGATGGAGGGGGTGAGAGGATTTACCAGAAAGAGTGAGGAACAGAACAGGCAGATTAACTGAAATATACTGCTGAGGGGAGCAGCAGGCGAGACAGGAGAGGTCTGCTGCGCCATGTGGGTTGCTCCCTGGCCAGGGATCCAAGTCATGCTGCAGAGGCTGCGGACAGCCTTATAGGTTGCATCTTAAGCCCTTGTGCCACCAGGGAGGCCCCAAGTTACACTTTTTAATGCACATGTTAGAAAATGAGAGAGACAGAAATAAGAATAAGCAAAGTATTCTTGAGAAATGAGAAAAATAACCATTGAAGCACAAAGGAATTACAACTGCATGGAAACATACTTAAAAGTTAATTCTTTGAAAACACTAATAAAATAAACCCCCTGGTGAGACTAATGTTAAAAAGCTAAAAGAATGCCCAAAAAATGACAAAGGGAACATTTCTACAGATTTGTCAATCATTAAAAAGATAATGAGACAATATTATGAACAACTTTATCCCAGTAAATCTGAAAAGCTGATTTAAATACACAAGTTCCTTGGAAATACAATTTACCGAACT